TGAGCCCTTGCACAGGCACTAGCCATACCTTGGACACCTTTTGAAACAGGCCTGGGAGGTCTAACAGATGAGTGCGGCTGTCCATGAGTTCTGATGGAGGAAGAGCTAGACGATGCCTGCAGACATGAGGTCATTCTGGGCTTTAGAGTTTTTAAGAGTTTTAAGAGGCATGAGAACTCTTTTGGTCTCAATGGCAAGAGCTTCATGCTTTGAATATGAATCTGAGCTGTGAGAATTTGTTCTTGAGTTACAGGCCACACCTTTCCTGTCAACTCATCTATGGCACACAGTGTTTTTCTAGATCTGAGTGCCCTAACTTGTCCCCCATTTTCTCTGTAGCATGGGCCCTTCCTCACCTACAGAGGCACATAGCACATGATTACAGAATCTGGTCATGGGCCAGAACCTCACCCACTGTCCTTTCTTGGCACTTTCCGATGAGGCAAGATTTCAGTGAAGCTCAGCAAAGGTTTAGTATCAGATGTTGAAATCTCACTTTAAGCATAAGGAATATGTTTTTCCCCCTTTTGTAGTTATTTGATGTCAACTTTGACATAATTATCATAAAAATTAATATTTCTCAGAACAGTTAATTTTTTCCAGTAGTAGATAACTAAATATCTAAAGACCAACTTTGAAATGATTACCTAAATTGTTCCAGTATAATAAAAACTTGGGAGTCAGAAATTGAGATAAAGACCTGATAAATCTAAGGAACAGCAAAGTCAATTGTCTGACTTTCTCTCCAAGTTTTGCCTGATCCACCAGCTGTGGAAATCACCCTAGAATCCCCTTTCTCTCTTCCTGTCTCTCTCTAGCAGACCTCTTCAGACCTCCAGGAACTCTACGGCTGATTATTGTCAGCCAATTGCTGACTAAGTTCTTTGATTCAAGTAGCTTTATTGGCACAGTGGAATGGCCATATGAGCAATTCTCCCATAACTTTTCCCCCTTTTGGTCTAAATAAAAAGGACAGGTTTCAACTCTAACATAGTAAATAAGAACAATTATCAAGTAAGAAATACATTCACAATGTTCAGTGCCTTAGTAGTATTTGGCAGATTCAGAGAAAATACTCTTATTTTCTATTCTATTTTGATGAGTCAAAAGTTTTGTACCTAACTTATTTTATATCATAAATTTTTTAAAAACCTCACCAAAGACTCAAGAAGGGCATAATATTACCTGAATAAACAGGAAGTGTAGCGCAAACAATTTCTAAAACTATAGAAATGACAGACAACTGACTGCCTAGAGAGTCACCCCAAGGTTTCTCTGCAGCATTAAGGCATCCATCTTTGGCCTACAGGCCTAGAATATCTGACAGACTTCTGTGAGTCAGGAATTTTGAAAGACTGTCTTGTCAAAGTTTGGCAGTCAATTTATGCCCTGCTTGTCCAGTTTGGACACCATACTGTCAGCAGTTGAGGCATTGGAAGTTTCTTGCCCAGTGGCTAACATTGCCACAATAAAAACAAATTCCATATGGATGTTTTTCAATGCCTATTATCCTTTTTTGAAGTAAATTGGTGCTTCCAGGGGCAGACATGTCTCACTGTCATGAAAAGCCCCATATTATTAAAACATCATAAATGACATATTCTATAGGTCTCTGAAGTATTTAAAGACCACTTGTCTACCTAAAATATATTTATGTTTGACCTTGAAAACATACCTAACAAAATTTGATGGTTATAGAAGACTACCAACCTACATTTCTTAATTATCTTAAACAGTTTGTAATAATAGTCTTTAAGTATATTGAATTTTAAAATGAGCAATATAGATATACCTTAAACAAGAGTAGAAACATATATACAGTATGTTAAAATAAAAATAACCTTAAATTTGTATCAATATACAAAAATGTCTTAAAGAAGACTAGAAAAATATATAAAAATAATAAAAAGAACCTTAATTTTGTATTGATATACAAATATACCTTAAACAAGAGTGGAAGCATATATACAGTATAACAAAAGTAACCTTAAATTTATATCAATATATAAAAAAATCCATACAAGAAGGGACTTACATGTGAAACAAGCTTGTTCCCTAACTTGAACTAATAAAAAAAATCCATACCAATATAAAATATTTGAGACTAGTAGTTGTTTTTAGCTCAAAAGTAGACTCAAAAATCCAACCTTTTCTTCCATCATTTCTATACTATCTTCTACCTCCCCTTTTCCCTTCAGGAAGATATTCCTGAGTCTTTTCTCTTTTGTTCAGCTTTTTACCTTGACCACAACCAATAACAACTTGTAGCCAACCCCCCTAAACAATGACAAACATCTATTGATCTAATGACCAAAAACCATTCACCCCACCTTTTGGAAATGTGGGAATCATGTTCTTAAAATTACTTCCTGTTGTCTGGGAGCAATGGCATCTTTAGGGTATCCTGAAAAATTTGAGATAATGATTAAGGTCTGGGAGAGCTATCTGTTGTCCAGTCTCAGTATGATGGGAGAGTGAAAGGCTTATGTTAATTCCTGACTGGAGTAGTCTACGAGACTGGACCATCTCAGTTGTTTTGAAGTTGTCCTGAGCAGTTTGTAGTTCAAAGCTGATCTTTGGGTGGTGTTTGTCAGCTTAGTGGTGTTACAACAATCCAGGAGGATTCATTGTTATGAGGCACCAACATCTTTTTGGAGACAAGATGTTTAGTTACCTATTACTGGGAAAAATTAACTGTTCTGAAAAAAATATTAAATCTTATGACAAGAAGGTATGAAAAACAAATTCCTTGTGCTTTCAGGGAGATGTAGATGTTAGGTCCTTAAACTGTGTCAGAGAAAATTCATTCTTTACTCACCTTTCTCATCCCCCACAGGGAGTTTTAGTAACAACCACAGAAGCTGTCACAGTACTTTCCATCCCATGGGAACAGAATACAAGGTTTTATAACTAGAAGGTTACTTGCTTTCAGCCTGCTAGCTTAAACTCTGCAATATTTATATTGCAATGGAGAAATGCTTTCATGTCTGTGACACAAGGCCACTTATTTATTGTTTTTATTATTTACTATCAGAATACTTGTTTAGTGACTCTTCTGAAGACTACTGTAAATCTAAGAACAGTAAATTAAAACCCTAGAGATAATTTATAACCTCCAGTATATCACTCCCGCTGTGAACATCCTTTGTTGAATATCACAGGATAAGCTAACATAATAGAGGAACTTTATCAAAACCAATTTAAAAATGACAATGAACTGTCATCAACTTGGTTGATAACCAATTAAAGTAATAGAATTAATAAAGCAGGCCTATTTTTCTTTCATTTACATGAAAATAAGTTTTATTTAGATTTATATAATGCTTTAGTGTTGTATGAGCTGTAATAATTTGAACAAGAATAAGAATAAAAACATTCCCTATGATGGAGAATCCTCACAGCCCTGAACTTTAATAAAAAATTGATTTGACATCAAGAAGAGATATGGCTACAGGTAGCTCAAGGGATTTACTCACACAATCTTCACATTAGCTTTTTCTTAAAAAAATGCCAGGATGGTACATTGTCAGTATTAAAGTTCCCTTTTTTATAAATGTTATCCTTTTACTACTGTAACACAATGAGACAATTGACTTAAGAAGAGGAAAGATTTATGTTAGTTCACTGTAAAGGGCCATGGGCCCAAAGCTATGCTGTTTAAAGCCCACTTTTTGTAAGCCTTTTCATGACAGTTTGCGGCTTAAAGCCAGCTCTACGAGCCTCCTGTAACCTGTAATTAGACACAATTTGGCCAAGCAACCATGTTCCCAGAAAAGGCCATGGGGCCTTCCTTCCTGCTGTTTCAAAGATACCGAAGATACAGCAAGAATGTTCCAGCCCCAGCAAATACCAGACGTTCCTTCCTGCTAACACCCCCCCCCCCCCCCCCGCTTGCCTAATTTCCTTGTTGCAGGGCTATATAAGCCCACTCTAAGCCCCAATAAATGAGACCTTGACAATTGCATAGATGGACTCTGGTCCCCTCTTTTGCGTCGCAGGGTCTCCTTCCTTTCTCTTGCCCATGACTCTTTCAGGCAGCTCCCCTTCGGAACCCTGAATGACTGGACCCGCGGGATGGGTCAGTTCACAGTTTTGATGTCTCTATTTATGGATGCTTGGCCCAATTAGCTTTTTGGTTATGGTGAAGCAATAAATCATTGTGTGTCTATAAAGTGGGGAAATCCCTCATCTTATAATAGCCAGGAAGCAGAGAGAAACACTTAGTAATGCTGAAATCATTTAACTTCTTCCTGCAAGGCCTTACTACTTAAAGACTATAACTACCCAATGGTGACATAGGTTAGTAATAAGCCATTAACAAAAGGATCTTTAGAGGACACTTATCCAGACCATAGAACACAGCAAGTTGGCATTTGACTTTCTACATTTAAGTCTAAACATACGTAAGAGAAAACACACTCATTGTAAGATGTCCTTACAAATATAACTGCAATATCTACCATGGAGCACAAATAAAACATTATATGCTTATTCTTCTTTGGTGTATGATTAAAAAATTAATTCATGGTAAGAAATTAAGAATTATAATTAAAATATAGTATTTTTTAAATGTTTCCACCTTCTTCCAACTTTCTTGTGCAAGTAAAATTAATTAAATAATCTAGTGGCAACATATAAAAGATATGGATACATGAGGTAGGAAAAAACAAAAGAAAGCAAACTTAAGACAGGCAAAAGAACACAGTGATTTCAAAACCTCCAGTAAATCCTTAAATGTTAAAAGATTCAAATGTTTAAATACTGTCAGTCAGGAAGGAGGTTGTTTGAAGGGAGGACCAGCCAGAAGTCCAGACCAATTAGAAGATCACACGGGTCAATTTCACATGCCAAATGCATCCTCAAAATTTCTAGTGTACATAAATGTGCTTATATGGAATTTTATTTCCTCCTACAGAACATCAATTAATTATGACTATTTTATTAAATGAAAATGCAAAAGGATTCACCACTGATCAATATGAAGCAGAAATCATACTCACCATCTCTTCGATTCAGTCTTGCAAAGCCAGGGCCATGACTGTTGGACAGCTGTGAGGAGCTGCTAAAGGACAGCTGCGGCAAAGAAGAGGCCAGTGGAGCATCACAGTTGTTTGCTAGGGAAAAGCACAGGGTATGTTAACACCTAGGCTATGGGACCATCATAACTTCACAAAGTAGTGTGGAGGCTGGGGAGATGACTCAGTCAGTAAAATGCTTGCTGGGAAAATACGAGAAGGACCTTAGTTAAGATCTCCAGCATCCATGTACAAGACATGCCTGAAATCCCAGTGCTAGGGAAACAGAAACAGAATGGTCCCTGTGGCTTGATGGTCAGCTAGTACTGATGAATCTGTGAACTCCAGGTTCACTGAGAAATGCATTTGAAAAAAAATAAGGTGGTTCAGACACCAGCAAACACCTGCACACACATGAGACACACACACACACACACACACACACACACACACACACACACACGCACGCACGCACGCACGCACCACACGCACACACATACACACATTTGTATGCAGGGTAATCATTACTCTTTCAGTGTTCTAAATTTTAATATTTGTGTTACATTATAATTTAGTGTAAAATTATTGTTAAATTTATTTAAGTTGTTTAAAATGTTTATAGTTCTCTTAGTTTGGACTAATATATACAGCTGTATAATCTTTACCCTAGTGTAGAGCAAAAATGGATCCACCAACATAAACATCAACATTTTCTCATGTCCTACGTTTTCTTTCTGATTATACAAGGTGTCTGAGTACATCAGTAACATAAGACTATTTTAAACAAAACTTGATGCTTGGATTCTTTAGGTACATAGACAGTGACCCCTATACAAGATAAGACTGTCTATATTCAAATCAAACTTCCCTACCATACATAGGCCAAGAATCATCCTAAAGCACTATATGGTAGAGATCTAGAAAGACTTGCTCTTGAGACCTCTGCAGAGGCAGTACCTGGGAACACTTACAGTCTCCAGGGACCACACTTTCTGATAGGGTTTACAGGCTCTTCCTTTTTGTCTGGAAATTCTACCTTCCCAGGGTGGCCCTGCTTTTCAGTCTAAGCACTTTTTACATGTCTCTCATATTAGAGCATCCCTCACTTATTCCTTTTGTGCTTTTTGAAATACTGCTTCATTGGTTAAAGGGTATCTGAGACAGATTACCAGCCTTGCTATCTATCTATGTAGGTTCTCAGGTCTCCTCTGCTTCTGGAGTCCACATGCTTCAAACTACAAGAGGACCTGGAATTGTTTCTCTGTGGGGAGCTTTCCTATCTGTACTTTGGGTTGCTTCTCTGTACTTCAGGGTAGTCACATTTCTGTTTTTAGGCATCCATTTATTTTCTCATAAGAAAGTCACTTTTTCCTATTTTACAGAATGATTACTGATCAGTTAATTTTAAAATGTTTTCTATAATTAAAATATTTTAATAATAGAATAATGCCATGCCTTGAATATATAGTTAGCAGATTCAGAACTGTACACTTGTATATGCAAGTGTGTGTGTATATGCACAATTTGTTACAACTTATGAAAGAAAGTACAGAATTAATTATATTGCTACAACTGGGCAAAATGTTAACTCACTCAATGAGAAAGATGTAAGAGGTGGCCCATGAAGTCTCCCAGTAATGTTTTAGTGTAGTGATTATCTTTCATTGTCAACTTCATGCAACTTAAAATCACCTGAAAAGTCTCAATGAAGTGTTTCTTTTACATTGGGTAAGCTTATAGGCAGGCATGCATGTAGGGGAATTATATTAATTAAGATAACTGATGTGGGAAAACCCAGCTCACAGTAAGCAGCACTATTCCTAGGAATAGTGTAAGAATGGAGAAGTCAACTGAATGCAAGAAGCAAGATAAGATTCATTTACTCGTTCTTTCACCTTTGACTGTAGATGTAATTTAACTACACTTCTCAAGCTTCCACCATTTTGACTTCCCTGAAGCAAAGGACTGTAACCTGGAATTGTTAGCTTGAAAAAAACCACTTTATCCTCTAAGTTGTTCCCCCCACCCCCAGGGTATTTTATCTCAGCAACAGAAATGAAACTAGTTAAGAACATGACCTAGGGAACAATGGCCATAAAATTCAGGGCAAAATCTTAGACATAGAATTTTCCTAAGTGAATATGATTTTTATAAAAAATATTAAATTACAACAGCTTTTCTAAAAGCACATATTGCCATTGTTAGGCTGAATTGTTTTGCTTAAAATTATCCCCCTACATATTTTAACTTTGACTTAAGGTTTTCTTCATAAATAGTGAATTCTAATCTAACTTGCTAAATAATTCAACCTGTACATAAACTCAGTGAACCATAACAGCTAAACCTGAAGACACTGCCAAAATATGGAGACAACAGGAAAATACGAACAGTAATTGATTAGGAAATTTTCATATGTCATTTCTTATTCTTGGATTATAAATATAGACTACAAATATGGTCACTGGAGCATAAGAAGAATTCTAAACCATTTCCAACTGCTATTTGATTCAGGAAATGGTGTGTGTGTGTGTGTGTGTGTGTGTGTGTGTGTTCACATGTATATGGTTGTATGTGTACATGTATATGCATGCATGTAGAGGCCTTAAGTTGGTGGTACATGTATTGCTAATCACTCTCCACTTTATTTTTTGAGTCAGGATCTCTCATTGAATCTGGAATTTGTTGATTGGCTAGTCTTGCTAGCCATATTTGCTCCAGGGATCTCCTATCTCTACCTCCTGAGTTCTGAGATTACTGGCAGCTAATAAACAGTTTGCCTGAAGCTAGTGCCATAGCTATTGGAGAAAGGGGCCAGTGTGAAAGGAGAGAAGTCACTTCTGATGCTAGAATCTGATTACATTTTAGCTTTCATGAATCAAGGGGCTTGACTCTCCTTCTTCAAGCCTGTCTGAGCATTCATTTGCCTATACTTGAGATATAGTCAGTGAGTACACAGCCCTTAGTCTTTAACCCATGTTGTAGTCCACATCAATGAATCACCAAGGATTATTATTCTTCTATAAGCAGTAGCTTTATTATGAATACCAACAAGTATCCTACATAGATCTTCAGGTTAACTATGTAACTAATTCTTTTTAATATAATATTTTATTAATTCTTTTGGAATTTCATAATGCATTGTGGTGATATAGTATTTGTGATTTAATAAAGATTGCCTGAAGTATCAGAATGCAAAGCCAACCACACTAGTTAGCTATAGAAGGTAGGCAGTGGTGACACACACCTTTAATTCTAGGACTCAGAAGACAAGCAGATGGATCTCTGTTAGTTCAAGGCCACATTTGTTGGGGACCAAGAAAGTTCCATTATGGAATGTCTTAAGGTCCAGCCTCCAGTTTCAGTAAACAGGAGTACCCAGGAGTTCCGGCCTACAATTGTATTGCTAATGTGAGCAAGTCTGCTATTGTGTAGCATAGCCTCAGTGTAGAATGTCTCCTAGTTTGCATCTCTACAGGACCAAGCATTTGAATAGGCCTGCACCTGGGTGGAAGGTTAGGTGTGTAAGTAACAAGTGAGGAGAGAATTAGGAGCCATCAAGCAGAGAGGGGTCAGGAGGAGAGAAATGGCCTCCTCGTGGCCATGGAAACATTGTTAAGAAACAGCCAAGAAGATGCTGAATAAACAAGAGACTCCAGTTTTGCAACTTGGAACTGAGAGCTCTCTAAAGATGACAAGATGCCTGTGTTTGGTCTTTATTGCCATTGGGTTGCTAGGAGCTTTCACTTTTAGCCTGAGGTAGAGGGAAGAGCTGGCCACTTTGCTTCTCTGATCTTCAGCTTGGACACCAATATCTGTCTCTGGGTTTATATTATTCATGTTACAATGCATATACTATATTTTGATCATATTCACTCCAGGTCTTCCCTGTAATTCCTTCCAGATCTATTCTACCCTTTCCCAACTTCATGCCCTCTTCTTTTTATTTTTTTTATAACTCAACAAGTCAAAATTGTTATGAACATAACCCATCCACTGGTGGGCAATTGATTTAAAAGGGACCAAACACTTAAAGAAAAATTATCTATCACCCCCAGTAGACAACTTCTAATATTTGGTTCTTCATCTAAGGATAGGGATCCTGAGTCCCTTCCTCCCTGTCTGTTGGAAGGTTGACTGACTGGCTTTTTCTTATGAGCATACTTTACAGGGAGCCACAGCTGTTGTTGAAGGGACCAGCTCCCCTTTTGGCAGTCATAGCGGCCGAACACGTGCTTGTTTGACCTTGTCTTAGTCACTAGAAAGTCAGATGCCTGCCTCGTGACAAGGAACCAATCAGAAGTTAGCTGGTGGTGCTATGCTTTACGACCCTGGAGGTGCTTTACGGACAAGCGCACAGCAATGACGCACAAAGCATAGCAACCACCCTGGGAGGGCCGATGTGCCATAACAACCAGTTGACCAATCAACACAGGACAAGCCCTCCAAGCCTGGAGGCACACCAATCGTGAGCCTGTGCATACCCCTAGACACTCCCCTTACGCTGTCCTATAAGATCGCTCAGGAGGCCCTAGGAGCTGTCTTTTTTGAGCCATCTGCCATGGCGGGTGGGTGAAAGACCCGAGCTAACATGGGGTTAGCTCGTTAAATTACAATAAAGCCTCATGCAGTTTGCAGCAAGCTCTCGAATCTGCCTGGTGATTGGGGTGACCGAGGTCGTGGCCTGGGCCCCGGATACCTGAGTTTTCCGGGGGGTCTAACATTGTGAGTTCAATTTCCTGAGCCTTTTTTTCACAGCCTCTGTTTATTATTGACCACCTCCAACAACCACTTAACAGACCACCATAGCAGAAACTCATTTAGAAACACTGCATTAGACAACTCACACAAATAAGAGTCTTAAACATCTCAAATCCATTTTGAATGTGCTCTGAAGGTCAAATATGATGTCTCAGCTCTTAGCTCCTTCCTCTATTTGATTCCTGTTCACTATCACTACCCTACAGCTGGATCCTGCTTTTCTCAGATGAATTCCCTCCTTTAATGTCATGTGCCAATGAATACTAGTCATGCAATGTCTTTGAAACCTTGTATTAGAATGCCCTTACCCACCACTTCTTGGCCTTTTGGCTA